CTTTACCAAGCATTTATTAACTGAAAAGCAGGCATTGTATTAGGTGCTAGGATTCAAAGACAAAGACTATATGGCCCTGGTCCATAACAAATGTGCTATTTAGTTGAGAAGGTGGACATATCAAAACAGTACAGGATGACGGTTGTTGTTATTAAGTGTCATCAAGACAGTCCAGTTCATAACGACCCTGTATAGGGTTTCTGAGGAGTGACTGGTGAGTTTGAACCGCTGACCTTGCAGTTCAAATGACATTGTGGTCCAATGTATACCTTTCCTGATTTTAAACCATTCAGTATCCCCTCGTTCTGTTCAAATGATTTCCTCTTGGTCTATGTACAGGTTTCTCATGAGCACAGTTGATAGCTTTTGCATAGTCAATAAAGCACTAGTAAATATCTCTCTGGTATTCTCTCCTGTCAGCCAAGATCCATCTGATGTCAGCAATAATAGCCCTCATTTCATGTCTTCGTCTGAATCTGGCTTGAACTTCTGACAGTTCCCTGTAGATGTACTGTTGCTGCCATTTTAAAATTATCTTCAGCAAAATTGTACTGGCATGTGATATTAATGATATTGTTTGATGATTTCTACATTCTGGTAAGTCACCTTTCTTTGGAATAGGTGCAAATAGAGATCTTTTCGGATAGGTTTTGAAGTAGCTGTCTTCCAACTGCCTTGGCATACATGAGTGAGCACCTCAAGTACTGGATCAGATTGTTGAAAGATTTCAATTTGTATCCTGTCAATTCCTAGAGCCTTATTTTTCTCCAATGCCCTCAGTGATATTTGGACTTTAGTATAGTTCTTGATCATAACCTCTTGAAATGGTTCAACATTGAACACTTTTTTTGTTTGTTCAGTGATTCTGTGTATCCCTCCATCTTCTTTTAATGCTTTCTGCATTATTTTGCTCATAGATTCCTTCAATATTTCAAGTCATGGTTTGGATTTTTCTTCAGTTCTTTCAGATTGAGAAAAACTGAGTGTGGTCTTCCCGTTTGGTTTTCTAACTCCCTAAAGCCATTCAAAAAGTGTTTCTTTCTGTGTGTAAACCTATTCTTGGCTTTTAATAGTAGTGGTCTCATACATCATTTAAGACCTGAATTCTTGACGACACTGCATTAAAATACCCTAATGTGGCGCTGTAGACTAATACATCAGACTGCAAAGCCATTTGAACTACAAGGTCGGTGGTTCAAGCTCAGCAGCTGCTCCTTGGAAACCCGACACAGGGTCGCTACAGGTAGGAATTGAGTCAATAGCACTTCACAACAACAATAACGTCAGATCAACTTCTGCATTTCTTAAAGTATGAAGTAATAAGTATCTCAACTGTTTATTCTAAGTCAGAGTTTTCTGTCAGTCTTCAGAAGATGGTGCTATCCTGACTGATATACAACTAAATCTAACTGGAGCATCAAGGAAAGCATTCCAGAAGAAATGACGTCAGAGGAGAATCTTCAGAAAGGCATTTGCAAGGCAGGAGGAACAATTAAAAGGGCATGAATAGAGAATATCCAAGGATATTCTTGGACTTACACATAGTTCAGTATGCTATCGCAAGAAGTATGAGGAAGAAAGATAAGGCTAGAGTCTAAAATGCTTGAGGAGCCTAGTATGCTATATTAGACCAAATATGGTCACAAATCCTTTGCTGTTCCTCTAATGAAGAAGTAGAGTGTATTTCAACATTCATTGAATCTGGATGGTTTTATGACTTGTTTTGACTAATAGGAAGTAATGATATATGAGTTCCAGAGCAGACCAGGCTCTCTTGAAATGTTTCCCTAAGGTTGGTCTATTGGGCTGGAGGATGAGAGAACTGAAAAGTCCCAGCACCAACTGTCAGACATGCAAGGGAGACCATCTGGGGACCATATAGCTATCCCAGCCACTGTCTAACTGAACATGAGACTAGGAGAGACTAGTAGAAGGACCTCCCCATAAATCCAAAGAATTGTAAGAAATAATAAATCCTTGTAATCAACTATTAGATTTGGTGTGATTCATTATACAGGATTAGGTGAGTGATACACAGGCGATGCTAAGTTTATGCTTTATTCTGAAAACAAACAAGAATAACCTGATTTGATTCATGGTTTAGAAATATCATATGGTAGCACTTTGGAGAAAGGCTTGGAGTGGGAGCACAGTGAAGGTGAGGGAACTTGTTACAAGACTATTACATTAATATAAATCAACGCCAAATTTACTGCCATCAAGTCTATTCCAACTCATAGTGAGCCTAAACAGGGTTTCTGAGACTGTAATTCTTTATGGGAGCAGACAACTTCATCTTGATCCTGGGTTTGAACCATCAACTTTGCAGTTAGCAGTCCAACACCTAATCCACAGTAGCACCAGGGCTCCGATTGCATTCATATAGCTAAGAAATAATGTGATCCTAGCAATATTAAGGCAGAGACATGAATAGATTCAAGAGTCATTTAGAGATAAAATCAGCATGATGGTGAATTTAGGCTCTCAAATATAAAGGAGAAAAATGAATTAAGAATTACTCAAAGATTTCTGAATTAGGTAAATGAGAAGACAATAGTGCTAGTCACTAAGCGAGGAAATGTGGGAGGAAGAGAAGGCTTTAGGTATCTGTGGAACATGCAAGTGAAATGTGTATCATGGAATGTACAGTAAGGAACTGTGAATATGTAATGAACAATGGATGACTAAATCACTATGATTAATCTGTGTGAGTACTGAAATATTCCAACTTAAGGAACCTTTGTTATATGGTACAATTTTACCAGTTTCTGTCGAATCGACTCTAATTCATGATTACCTCTTGGGTTTCTGAGTAGCATTACTCTCCACAGGATTAGCATGACTATGACTGTTAGGAAGCAGATTGCCAAGACTTTCTCCCAAGGCACCTCTCTTGTTGTTGTTAGGTGCCATCGAGTTGGTACCAACTCATGGCAACCTTGACTTCTGACCCTACACCTTACCAAACATGATATCTTTCTCCAGCGAATGATGCCTCCTGACAATGTGTCTGAAGTATGAGAGACGAAGTTTGGCCATCCTGGCCTCCAAGGAACATTCTGGCTGCATTTCTTCCAACACAGATCTGTTGGTTCTTTTGGCAGCCCATGGCACTTTCAATACTCTCCTCCAACACCATAACTCAAAAGTATTAATTCTTCTACAGTCTTCCTTATTACTGTCCAGCTTTCGCA